CTGCGGTATTCGGTCATTATGAGTCACACTATCTGTACACAGATGGTCATTGGGTCCTGGTTGGGAGGGGCAGTAACTTCCCTGGTTCATACAGCCTATGCCATGCACTTTCCCATCTGTCATCCTCGAGAGATTCCTCATTTTTTGTGTGAAGTCATGGCCCTCCTGAAGCTCACTTGTGAGGACATTTCAGCCTATGTAAAATCAGTGGTAATTTCAAGCTTTCTTGTGGTTCTCATTCCCTTGAGTCTCATCCTGACCTCTTACACACTCATCTTCCTCGCTGTCCTCCGCATGAACTCCCCTGAAGGCAGGAACAAAGCTCTGGCTACCTGTTCCTCCCACCTCTGTGTGGTGAGTCTCTACTTTGGCCCCGCCATATTGGTCTACATGAGGCCTGGTTCTTCTAAGACACCCAAATTAAACCAGTCTCTCTTTATGTTTAATGCCATTCTTACCCCTATGCTTAACCCTCTCATTTATAGCTTGAGAAACAAGGATGTTATAGCAGCTGTGAAAGGTATAATCATTAGTAGATGTCCCCTGGGGAAGACAAAAAGCTGCACCTGATTATAAGCTTATGTTGACATCTTGTTTTCAATTGCTTTCAGGAGCCTTTAGAGTTTTACAAATTCTGTCATGAGAATCAAAAAAATATTAGAGGCATTTGCTTCAACACCCTTGTTTTGTAGAAATCAATACGAATAAAAGATAAAATCACTTATTTATGGCCTCAGTGTACCATCACAAAAACCAGTTCTTCTGACACAAAATTCTGAAAGCACACTATTGCTGTTATGTGCTATTGAGTCCATTCTGACTCACATTGACACTATATAAGGTTTCTGAGGAGCAGCTGGTGGGTTTGAACTGCCATCCTTGTGATTATCAGTCCAATGTTTATCCTACAGCACCACACCAGGAATCCTCTCTAAATAATAGTGTCATTTTGCCTAAATATTCATGTGCCTAAACACATCTATGAAAAGAAAGAAAGTTGTAAGCCATTCCTAAGACCAATGAGAGAGCTCATAACTTCAAAGTGGGCTCAGAAA